ACTTACCTTGTGTCTCTCCTCGTCTCCCGGCCGAAAATGTGAAATGCGCATGCTCCCGCCCCAAGATCCTTTGCGGCTGCACGAGAAGTTTCACATTTTCAGACGGGAGCGCGCAGGAAAGACACAGGTAAGTTTAAACCGCTTTTAAAGCAGGTTTTTGGGGTTTTTTTTTTACACTTTTTGCATATATCTACTGCTTGCTAGCAGTAGATATATGCAAAAACACCGGAGGGTTTAAAAACCCTTTAACAATCTTTCACACACATATAACTAGCATAAGGTTTTAAGTATATGCATGCACTTCTAAATAAAACCTAACTAAACTCAAAATAAAAAAAATTATACATTGCAGCTTACCATTTGGTGGCTACATTTGTTTCCTTTTTATTTTCACCGGGTGATTCTGCCAATAACATAGTTCCTGTCCTGGGGTGACAACAACCACTCAATCAAAATCCTGTTTGTTTTTTTAAACTGATCAAATTAGAAAGAAAAAGTGTTCTTTTGTTAGTTTTGTTACATTTTTATTTATGGATTGCATAACTAATAAATCATTTTTGCAAGACAATTTCACCAAAAGAAAGTTTTGCTTTGGCTAAACCAAAATATATACAACATATATTACTTAGTTATCTTAGTAATAACAAGTTATGACAAAGTTATTGCTAAATAATAGGGCTCATAGCAGACAACTAAAAATTGCTTTGATCCATAAGTGGTATACAGGTATGAGAGTTGAAGTAGTTATAGTTGGCTTTATTTTGATACATGATTTGTATATCATGGATTTGTATTGAGGGTATTGTATTGCTAAAATATATACTATGGTTATTTGAAGGAATTTTCAGTTTACTTTACTTTACTTCAGTGTACTTTTCTTATCTTCACCAATAATGGAAACAAATACGTCTGAATCAGATTTTGCACCACTTCCTGCTTAAAAAAACCTAAAAAATACGTAGGAATGAAGTCTGTTTTCATGTCTGTTGTCCTCCAAATCCCATTCTAACTTTAAACTGTCTTTGGGCAAGCAGCAAAAGGCCATTAAAAATTAATCGGTGCAAAGTACAATGTGCAAAAAACGTTGTCAAGCAACGTTTTCAAAGCAGAGAAAATAGACGTGAACAGAATTGAACGTTCAAAGTCCATATGAATAGCTGCAACATTATAGACCGTGTATATTTGGGGACTTGACAGCTACATCCTGGTATAAAACTTTGATGAGGTTTACACAAGATAATGTGTGCATAAGAAAATAGTAGTAAATTGTAAAAACTCAATAGATACAAAATACTACAACTATCATGCAAATGTCATAATGACCTTTCATCTGGTCATAGGTAGGTACAATTTGTAAACTTTTATGCAGAAACACAAGCTCAGGATTAGGTTCTTCCCATAATTCCAGGTTACTTGTAACCAGAGAATTTACCTCAACGGTCTGACCTTAAAAGAGAACTAAAGCCAGACACTTTTTTTGGCTTTAGTCCTCTTTTGGGTCAAAGGTGTACAATTACTAATGTACTCCTGTGACCCAAAGTCAGCATCTAGCAGGCTACTGCCTGTTATTTGCTGACAGTGCAGAGCTGCTCTACAGCTGGGAAAGATCCTGACAATATTGTCGGGATCCACCCCGCTGCCTGATTGAAACTTCTCTATGCCTCTCTACAAGAGGAGCCAGCTGTGCCTTCCCCCTCCCCTGTCTGTCCCTCAAATTAACGCTGGAAAGGGGGGATTCCCTACGAGGAGAAGACTGTGAGCTGAGCAATCAGCAATTTGCTCAGCTCTTGATCTATGGAGCAGGCATGTGACATCTGCAGTGTTTTATGTCTGTCTAAGTACTGTGAAGAGCACATTTTACTCTCCCAATACTTCTCCTTTGAATAAATAATTGCGAGAAACCCAATGGGGTCTGTTTTATAAAAAGTTTTACACAAAATTCACATTCCTTACACTGAAAAAAATGTTTGAATTTCTGGATGAAAGTTGTGTGAATGGTTGTGTCCTGATCATGTATCTTCATGGTAAACTTCAAAGTGCACTTTTAAGGTAGACATGTGTAAGTGCGGACATCAAATGTTTTGCATCAAACTGGGAAATGGGTTACTATTCTACAATTAACATTGCTTGCACCTCACAGTTTTTACTTTATACTGAATGATACCAGACTGAGGGGGAAAAAGCAGAAGAAAATATTTGCATGTTTCCAGTGTTCATTTTAGTCAGTGTCTTTAATACAAACCTTAACTTATGTATATACAATATTCAAACTTTTACTGAGTTTGTTTCTACAGAAACATAATTTGGAAAATGTACCACATACAGAACAGTTCTTGTATGATGTAAAACGGGCATTTGTTATGTGAGAAAATAACAATTCCTTAGTAAGGAATTCCAGAGGGAAATACTGACTTTAGAAAGCTGCATATGTGAGAGACCTAGTTTTATGTGGCAGCCTAGGAGCCTAGTAATAATATATGAACAGCAACCTTGTCCCAGGTACAGTGGCGTAACAATCGCCATAGCGACCCAGGCGGCCGCTATGGGGCCCGTGCACAGGGGGGCCCGGCCAGGCATCCCTCTGATGCCGTGTGGGCCGCCTGGGTCGCTATGGCGTCTCGGGTGCTGGCTGTCACTGACATAGCTCAGCAGCTGCTGTGAAGGAAAACGTTCAAACTCACAGCCGCTGCGGAGCTGTGTCAGTGACAGCCAGCAGATGCGGCAGAATAGGTCGGTTACACCGGTGTTCTATCGATAGTCCAAACTTATCAAGTTGTAGGACCGCATGACTTCCGGTCCCAGAACTCAATAAGTTCGAACTTTCGATCGATCATCGGCATTTGCAGTAAAGGAGGCGGGGCCCGCCTAACAGCAACCCCGCCTCCGCTCACATCACTGGCCAGCGATCTACAGGGGAAACTCGAATAATTAGAATATCGTGCAAAGTTCATTTATTTCACGAATGCAACTTAAAAGGTGAAACTAATATATGAGATAGACTCATTACATGCAAAGCAAGATAATTCAAGCCGTGATTTGTCATAATTGTGATGATTATGGCTTACAGCTCATGAAAACCCCAAGAACCCCAAATCCACAACCTCAAAAAAGTAGATTATTACATGCAATCAATAAAACAAGGATTGTACATAGAACAATATCGGACCTCTGAAAAGTACAAGCATGCATATGTACTCAGTACTTGGTTTGGGCCCCTTTTGCAGGACTTACTGCAATTACTTTTGCACGATATTCTAATTATTCGAGTTTCACCTGTAAGAGCAGGTGGGGCCCGTGATGTAAGAGGAGGCGGGGCCCGTCGATAGAAGGAGGCGGAGCCCGGGAACGGAAGAGGAGGCAGGGGCCCAGCGGCGGCGACCACGGAGGTGACAGGTAAGAAGCGTACAGCGCAACTGAGACCTTGCAGAGCCCACCATAGAGAGTCTACGGTGGGCTCTGCAAGTGGCATAACTAGCAATCACGGGGGCCCCATGCAAAATTTTGCTATGGGGCCCTGTGATTTCTAGTTACGCCCCTGCCCAAGTATATAAAACATGTACAGAAAACCTTTGGACTTCTATTTATATCACATTGCAAAGTGCAATATGTCAGGCCGGAGATGATAATTTCCCTGGAAATTGCAGTTTGGCTGATAAAAGTCTAATTGGTTGTTATGGGTTACTGACAATTGTGGGTATTAATGGAAAGCCATTTTAATCTTTGTATTTCCAATCTTTCTGACCCAAATACTCCTTATTTCTAATACATGAAACATTATCTAAACAGTTTAAATATTCAATGCCTTAGGATTGTGGGGCTGTTTATGTGCTTCTTTGATTTACTATTTTATTTAGACGTGATAGAAGCTCCAAACTTTTTTTTCTGGCAAATATTATGTTACAGAGACACCATTACATTTCTGCACATTTAGCAGACTTTCTAAAACTAAAAATCAAATTGAAATTGACTCTAATATAGCGTGTTAGAAAGCTGAATTATCTAGAACAGTTTTGGTCAACTTACTTGATACAGGAAGCCTCCAGCATGGCCCACAACATCACCAAAGGGCTGCACATAACGTTTAGTGTAAGTAATGCAACAAAAAATGGTCAGAGACTGCAGACATACTAGAGTAGAGAGTCAGGCTGCAGACATACTACAGTGGATGGTCAGAGACTGCAGACATACTACAGTGAACAGTCTCTAGAAGCTGTGCATCTACTTACTGGGAGGAACACGGGATGAGGAGCCGGGGAGTGTCTTGCCTTTCCATGCTTATGTGTTTGTGGAGACAAGCATTTTATTAGTACACACACCAGGGTGGCTCCATAAGACCCTGCTAGGGAAAGAAATCACTCTACAACAGGATATCAGGGCCTCGGAGGACCAGCTGTTTCCGCAGTAACTAAAACTTTTAAACATCAAAAAGCAGCAGCCATTATTTGTGATTTCATCAGCTTTTGAGAAGAATAAAACATTTCAACTTTAATATCACCTTAAAAGCAGTCTTCTCAAAGTTCTATCTTCCTGAAGATATGAATGATCACAATGGCTAGCTTCAATTCCCTTTCAAATGTTAAATTATGTATAATTCAGTATTAAAAAGCTGCTGTTTAGGTGTTTGTGTATAAGCCCAATTGCTGCTTACTTTGGTTGTTTTATAAGGTGCAATCCTCTAACTACGAACGCCCCATGATGTGCTGTAAGCTATTATCATTTAGACTACATTATCAGTCATGTAGAACAGGGTCATGACCCCTCCCATTGATTTTCATTCTAATGTACAGTGGGTTTGTGACTCTTGCAACTTTTATATATGTGAAATAACAAAAAAGGAGAGTGCAGTATGTTTATGTTGTTAGCAATTTTATGTCTCTAGCAGCCATCATTCCAAAGGTCACTTAATGTTTGCTCATTTGAATGTACAAAGCTATTTTTTAATAAGCTATACTTAGACTATAGTGCAGTGGTCAATCTGTATTATTCTTTTTATCTTCTAGAATTCAGATCCAGGCAGTGAATGAGATTGGAGCTGGACCTTTCAGTCATACGATCAGTGTAAAAACAAGCCCACTTCCTCCCCTGCCTCCTCGGTTGGAGTGCGCCGCAGCTGGACCCCAGAGTCTCAAACTGAAATGGGGAGAAAGCAGCACAAAGTTACAAGTGTCCGATGATGTTATTTTCATCCTTCAAGTCGAGGATAAAAATAAGAGGTACGTCCACCAATTACTCCTCTTAAGCAGTAGCTGATTGTTGCCATTAATCGTTTAGTTTCATGAAGTAAACAGTAGTTCATTGTTTGTAGTATAAAAGATTTCGCTCTACAGCTTCTTGCCAATAAATTGTTCTAAAGATAGCGGGGGGGTTTTTTCACAAGGCCTAGTTTTTCCATCTTAATCTTAGACTGCATATTGAAAATGATTGTGAACAATATTTACAATTTTACTGCAAGTAAAGAATCCCTGTGTTCCCGTACCCAACATCAACCCCATCATTTAAAACCAGCTATAGGTTATGGAGAGGAAACGGCTGATATAAGTCTTACCCCCAGATAGCTTATAGGTAGCCCAATGGCCAACTGAAGGTGCACACACGGCAGGCTAACAACCCGGCTGCTAATTGCGAAGCAGTTGCTTAGCATTGTCAGCATGCAACAGGAAGTGCTGTTACTGTTAGGATCTCCAGGTAAGAAACTTTTGTATTAGATTCACAAGAAATGTCTAAGAATTGTCTAAAGTAGAATTATGTTGTAACTTAGTGCCACCCTCATGTGGACTGTGTCTGCTTGCATAATGCCCCTTTTACATGGTCCAATCAGGAGGGGATCCATGCACGAACATTACCCTATTTTTGTTAGTGTATGGTCAGCCGGATCTAAATGGTCTCTGATCAGTTTGTTTTTACTGGACCTTTATGGATGCCCATCCATTCAGATCCGGCTGCCCACACGCTAACATTGGGCTTCCGATCAGGTCCTCCTGAAAAACTGATTGTAAAGCCCATGTGAAAGGGGCCTTACTGTTAGGTTGTGATGGAGTGGCTATCAGCATTGTCACTGCTAATTTACAAGTCCATAGCTTCTCAGTCAGAACCTGGCCACATTGACACCTCTCCACTGCTTTCTTGATTGACAGCATTGCCACTGTTGCAAAAAGCTGTTGCTAAACCCTTCCACTGAGCTGCAGTGTGAGATACAAATGAAGGAGGATTTGGCTCAGTCATGAAAAGTAAAGAAAGTTTGTTGTTTACTTTATGAGGTTTGTGCATCACAAAGTAACTAGATTTGGTACTTAGACTGTCATACAGGACCCTTTAGAAAGTTGTGGACTCTGGGCAGTCTACATATGCCCAAACAAAACTTCATCCAAGTACAAAGGGCATGTGTAGTGTACGTCTGTCCTGCTGCCACTTGCCCTTGCCAGCAATTTATTGTAGTCAATCTGAGAACCGGGAGTTAACTATTTTTTTCCTGCATTTTATTCTGTTTGATTACTTCTGTTTTTCTAACCATAAATATTTAAACTTTCTAGTGTTTATTTGTGTTCATTTAATTTGATTAGCGTCACATTAAATAACACATACAATTTTAACAAAAAGTCTTTATTCATTTGTAAATAAATTTGCAGTGCTTTCTACCAGAATCATCATTTTAGTGTAATTTTAAATAGGGCAAATTATAGAATAACATTTACACTTTTTATCAATAACATTTTTTAAACTATCAAAGTAAAAAAAAAAAAAAATGTCTAGGACAATATGACCAAATTAAATCCTTGTTTGTCACAAAAAAAGTTATTGCTGAAAAAACAGGCTCATTGCTCTGGTCTTTTGGGGGTATCCAGGTGTGAGAGCTGCAATGGTTAAGAAAACTATATATAAGTAGGCATTATGCAAAACATACTAAACATAGATTTGGGTTTACATACACTTGTGTACCCATGTGGTTTAAACTCTATACTTGAAGCGCAATAATGTAACAGTTGAGAGTAAAATGATTCTTATTCTCATAGAGCTAGAACAAAGCAAAAGTATTGTAAGAGCCTTTTCAGGCGGGAGGTCCGATCAGGTTCGCGGATCTGATCAGAAGCCCAATGTTGGTCTATGGGCGGCCAAATCTAAATAGACATGCGTCCATTTACATCCGATTATCCCCCAACTCCGGCCAGGTCCAGATAACCAAACGGAACAGAGTTGGCAGACCTGATCATGACAGATGAGGGGTGATCTGCTGTAAATGGACACATGTCTGTGTACATCCAATTCTACATAGACCTAACATGGGTCAGGTAAGTCCAGTTTTTTTCTCCATCGCAAGATGGAGGAGAAAACTGCTTGAATACGGATGTCAGAAAGATCACATCTGTTAAGAAGTGCTCCGATCAAAAGGGGGTTCATGTATGGATCCCCCCCCGATTGGAACTGAAAACTGAAGGCGTCCATCTGAAAGGGGTCTAAAGAGTGGGAATAGAATACAGCTCTTCACCAGGTATTGATCTACAGGGGCAAAGTAAGTGTTGTTTGAGTGTGGTGGGTCATCCAAGTGATCTCATGGTATAACTATAGGCTAGATCTTCTTGAATTTGATCCTAAAGTGTATCTAAATCTATAACTTTTTTAAAGATTTTTTTGGATATATTGTGGAAGGGTTAGAACCCCTTGTAACTAAATTTATTAGTTTTCATTACTATTGTGTCACTGGGATAGAAAGTCAGATTAATTCTCTGTAGCAGAACAGAATGATATATAAATTTTTTATATTTGGAACAGTATGATAGAAATAGTGCTGCAGTTGGGCTTTAGGTGTGGCAGTCTTTCCCCTCATACATGGTCAGATTATTGCAGTTATATCAGTATAGTCTGGCTCTGGTTGCCTGTCGAAAAATAAGAATAAAAGACTAAGGCATTTAGATTACAGGCTGTTCTCTAATGTATTTATTCTCCTATCCGGGTCCTCCTTACCATACAGCATTCTCAGCACAAATTGACATACCATTGACTGATGTGCCAGAGTTGTTTTTTTATTGATGGACAAATATCGCAGATTCAGTTCTTGCCATAGTTCTTGGTAACATTAATACTCTGTGTGGAGAAAAGCTCAGTAGAATTGGGGTTTAATTATCCTTCAGTGGTCTTTATCATGAGCTTGTCATTAGCTCCAAATAACATGTTTAAGTGAAAGTGGTAGACAGGATAGCAGTCGTTTTTAATCATTCACTGGAAAATGAATGATTAAAAACGAGTGCTATCCTGTCTACCACTAACATAATGGTTATTCGCCACTGTTTTACAAATATGGTTTTTTTTAAAAAATATATTATTTCTCGTGTACTTGTTAATTTTATTTTTAAACATGTAACTTTGTACACCGTGTATGAAGTCACAGAAAATGGGGCTGCTGGTTATTATATATAAAAGTGAACCTGTGGGTTTAGCCTGCTGTAACTGAAACCACCTCCTTACCACAGCAGGTGGTCTGCTACATCAGAATCTTGTTTTTTAGGTAATAGAAACACTGCTATGGTGAGCCAGCAAATTAAAGTGTAATACCAGTATGTCCCATCGCACTCCTGACCGGATAAAACCCTCATGTTTTGGGTGGGTGCTGAGGTGACTGCAGACGCCTCTGCGAATTAGTAAATATGTAGTAGAAAGTCACTTGCACTCCAACTTTATTTTCTGTGAATGCTTTATTGACAAAGGTTGTGACACATTGTATAGAGATGTTTTAGAACCGTGTGGTCCGTTCTTCAGGCAAACAAATGGTAAACTTTGTTTGCCTGAAGAAGGGACAACACTGTTCCGAAATGGCGCTATACATTGTGGCACAACCTTTGTCAATAAAGCATTGACAGAAAATCAAGTTGGAGTGCCAGTGACTTTCTACTACATACTAGCAAATTAAAGTGCACCCCTGTTTTGAACCCATTTGGTCATCCGACTACAGGAAGTGACACGCATTTGGTGCTTTGAGAGGGAGTGCTGTAACCAGATACTGAAAGACATGGTGAAAATGTTACTTTGTCTAATTAGTAATTTGCTGCTTGTCAAAGTGTTCTTTTGTATGTTCAACATTTCCTTAAAAAACATCAAATTGCTTTGTTGTTGCGGTTGTTCTAACTTTAATGTAGAAAACATTGATATGATGTGTTTTGATCAAATATTTGTAAATGGTACACATTACCTGTAGATGGTGCTGTCCTCCTCCCTTTTTTCTGCTGCTTTTGGTATTTTTGATTAGATAAAACCTCTTTCTTGTTCATACAACAGTGCTAAGTGCAGTCAAATTATGAAAAGAGTATTAAAGTGACATTAAACCCTCAGATTTTTTAACATAAATAACATACAATACTGTAATGTGTGCCTTACTGTAATCCATGGTCGTTTTCCTTCTCTTTGCTGCTCTTCCTTTTAAATCGTATCTCTTCTCATGCTGAGGGAGAACTTCCCTTTGCAGCTGAGTGCCTCTTCCTGTAGTGCTGGCTCAGGTTGTGAACCTGCACACAGACACCATGTATCCATTCCAGAGACAAGGCAGTCTGATGCAAAACCGAAGTTCTGCCCAGCATGAGAAGAGATAGGGATTTAAAAGGAAGAGCAGCAAAGAGAAGGGGAACTACCATGGATTACAGTAAGGCACACATTACAGTATTGTTTTATGTTAAAAAATCTGAGGGTTTAATGTCACTTTAACTAGTAGCAGCCAGTCAGATTTTACATGATGAGAATGCAGTATCTTGTTTCATCCTATTAGGAGAGCCTGATTTTGCAATCAATGCACTTATTTCCAGGGTAATTTCATTATCAATACACAGGCATATACAGTATATATATCTTTAGAATTGCAGGTGATGAAATAGCTATGTGTCTGTGATCATGTGGACATCCTGCCAGAATCCACCATGATGCTTTCCCCAACTCAGCCAATGGGTGAATGCAGTGTACTTTAAGAAGGTTTACAACTGCTCATTAAAGGGGAATGCCAATGACTTATCACCAAGGACTCATAACCATCGCTAAAGAAACAAAACATAATTCTCTATAGAGCAACCCCTGCGGGGAATAAAAATTATATGCATATAGTGCATCTAGTGCTATCAACATAGTATTAATTGATTCTTGATCATTTCCACATGAGGTAAATTGATACATGTAGTCCAGCTTTGCCTCAATCTACCCTCCTATGTTGCATTGGAAGATTTCAACATATGAGATG